AAAAAAAAAAAAAAAAAAAAAAAAAAAAAAACATACTTCCCTTTTTTCCTGGACCGCCGCCCCAATACAGTTTCCCTCGCTACTGCCATCATCTGGTTGTAAGCTACTAACACTTTACATTACACTATGGCAAAAATACAAAAACATGTGATGCATAACATAAGCATCTATAAGTACATAACGGTCATCTCTAAAGTGGTGCTTACATCACTCCTGGACCAAACCAAAACATATATGATGGATGCTGAATTCACTGTCGCTCGACAGTTTGTACGAACTGAAATCAATCGTTCTAACAAGGATAAATGGAACCATCTTGATGTACTGCAACAGTTCTCTGGGATGGCCGCTGGAATGCCAGTGGTTTGCACTGTGCTCAGACACGGAGTAACTTTTGGCGAATCCATGCCCACCTGTGAAAACCATTTTTCCACCCTCACTAATGTGTTCACTCAGCACAGACTGAGCATGTTACACCAGAGGAAAGCACAACTCATCCGACTGGCATTTGAATGTGATCTAACTGCAAAATTCAAGGAGAAAGAATTGCATGAAAAGTTACTCAGGAGATTCAACCCCATTCAAAGGTAGGATATCTGTCATTACGCTGTGTTTAAAAGCAGAAACTTTGTTAGTCCGTTTGTCTGGTTCAAAAATCTGTCTTACAAAAGCAAGTCCTATTTGTGTGTATTGCTAATGTAAAGTAGAGGCCCCTTTGTCCTGTAGCTGGGCCTGAGTACTAGCAGTATTAATTCCTAATGTTTTAGCTCAGTGGTTAGGACGTTGGGCTACTGATCGGAAGGTCATGAGTTCGAGCCCCAGCACCGCCAAACTACCACTGCTGGGCCCTTGAGCAAGGCCCTTAACCCTCAAATGCTCAGTTGTATAAATAAGATAAATGTAAGTTGCTCTGGATAAGGGTGTCTGCCAAATGCTATAAATGTGATACTTACTGTATGTAGCCTATATAGGATCTAATGTAATAATTAGAATAATATATTTTTTCTAAATTATTTGAGTTTGAACTGTGTTCTTTATCATTCAAATAAATGAAATTTGCAGATATTTAAATCATTTCAAAGTTTTGATTTAATTTGTGTTAATTTATAATCGTACACATTCTATGTTCATTTTATGTAAATGGTCACAGTCAATTCTGAGCAAAACATGGGCTGGTATCTTGTTAAGTTTGAATATGAAGACAAAAAACACATTAATAACCAATGTTATGGGCCAGTTTAGTGCGGTGCCAATTGAAAAAAAAACCCTGTTTGCTGATGAATAAATGGGCAAGCATGGTTTATACAGTGGTGAAATAAAGGTTAAGGGAAGGGTTTGGTTGTTATTGGTGCACATTAAAAAAACACCCCCAACTGGGACTCAAAGCAGGGATCACCATACTTTGAGCCATGTGAGCTAATGACTGTCATGAAAAAGGCAGGAAATAAACAAAGAAAGAAGATGGCAAAATGTCATACTCAAACAAAGGATCTTTTTACGACTTAGAAATCTTCAGGAGGTCATTTTATATATATATAGATAGATAGATAGATAGATAGATAGATAGATAGATAGATAGATTTCTGATGACAGACTCAATCCTCCGAAGTATGGAGGACACCAGTGTTGCGCAAATTTCTTCAGAGATGTTCTACCATTCTTCAGAGACTATTTTTTCCAGCTGTTATTTGCTAGAGGGGTTGTGTCGCTCTAACTTTCTCTTTAAAATACCCCAAAAGTGTTCTATTGTATTCAAGGCAACATACATGGCCAGGCCATAGTTTTCACTTTTTTCTTCTTTAGAAACTTCTTGTGTGAGTTTGGCAGTGTGCTTTGGATCATTATCATGCTGGAATATTCCTCTTCTTCCAAGCTTCTGGAGACTTGGAGTCATCTTGTCAGCCAGTATTTTGGTATATCCACAGGCATTACAAGCATGTCATCTCCCCAACACCTTTTGCACTCATGCAGCCCATCACCACACTCCCACCTCCATGCTTCACATAATGCAATTCTTAAGAGGTGATACAATTTTAAATCATTTGACATTTAAGTGATAGTGCAAAAAGGTGTACTCACGTCTGTTGAATACTGTATAATTTGCCCGGGGGACTGTGCCCCAGATTGGGTTCTTGCCATAAGGTTTAACTGACAGCCGTCTCTAGGGCCCAGTGGAGCAGACCCACAATTTGAGGGGATGGGATAATAGGCTTAGGCTCTGTACCTGAGGGAGCCCATTGAAGGGAGAGGGCATTGGGCTTACTGTTTTTGAGCCTGGCCTGTATGACAGGACAAAGTTGAACCTGCCAAAAAACAAAGCCCAACTCGCTTGGCAGGGGTTGAGGCACTTGGCCTGTTGGATATAAGCCAGGTTCTTGTGATCGGTCCAGATCACAAATGGATGCTTACCCCCCTCCATTCCTCAAGGGCCAGCTTAACTGCGAGCTCTCCCCAATATCATAATTTTGTTCGGTCAGGGTAAGCCTGTGTGAATAAAATGCACAGGTTGGAGCTTGCGAAAAGGGCCTGATCGCTGTGAGAGAACTGCTCCCGCTCCTCCATCAGAGGCCGCTACGACAAACGGTTCCTTTGGATCGGACAACTGGAAAAACGGGGAGCCTGTAAGCCTCCTCTTGAGCTCTTCAAATGCCTCCTGAGCCTCAAGAGTCCACAGAAAATGACCTGGGGTCTTTCACCCACTTTCAGAATTCCACCCACTTCTGTGGCCAGGGTTCAGAACCCTATACCATATAATCAGGCACTGACCTGTTCCCCACCATATAATCAGGCACTGACCTGTTCCCCTGTCAGGAACTGCTTTCCGGCCCTCCTCTGGATTAAAAAAGGTCAGGCGCAGGGCCTCAGTGAATTGTATGACTGAGGCACAGCTTTTTGATGCCTGTTCCCACAATGGAGTAGCCCATGACAACACCCATCCCATCAACAGGGACATCATGAATGCCACCTTAGCCCTTTTTGAGGGGACTCAGGAGGGTTGCTGTTCAAAGACTAAAGAACACTGCAGCAGAAAACCTCTGCAGCATCCCGAGTCCCCTCCAAACTTCTTGGGGTGCAGGATTGCCGGTGGTGGTGTTCAGGAACAAGAGGTGCTGTGGTAGGCTCAGGATTGGGAGTGGGTGGGGTAGTTTTCACTTACATATATACACTCACTGGCCACTGTAATATGAACACCTGTACACCTGCACCTTTATGCAGTTATCCAATCAGCCAATCATGTGGCAACAGCACAATGCAAATCATGCAGATACAGGTCAAGAGCTTCAGTTAATTTTCACATCAAACATCAGGAAAAACTGTTATCTCTGTGACTTTAACCGTGGCATAGTTGTTGGTGCCAGGCGGGCTGGTTTGAGTATTTCAGAAACTGCTGTTCGCACAGAATTGTGCGAAAACACAAAAAATGTTTTAACGTGGATGGTTAGTGTGTTTTCAGAGATAATTTTTTCTCTTCTTTTCAGTAGTGTCATACAGTTGGGGTCATAAGTTTATGTCAGCTATTTCCCCCCTTGCGCTCAGTATCCGAGTGTTCAGTGCACTGAAGCTACCGGCAGCACGACAGCATGAGCTGCTGGGTTAGGACATTGTTTACGTTAACATGCGTGTTGTGTTTTCATTCATGTCCTGTCTCCTCCCCTGTTTTGTCATTGGTTGTATCCTTCCTGTGTCATGTCCTCTCTCACCTGTTCCTAGTTCCCCCTTGATTATTCTGAGTATTTAAACCCAGCGTGTGTCTTTGTTCGGGGCACAGTATTGTTCAGTGTTTCGCCGCCTTATTTTACCTAGTCATTTTGTTCTGTGTTGTTCGCTCTGGTTTTTGACTTCTTGTTCTGTTCCCTCGTTTTGTTCTTTTGGATTATCCTTGATATTGCTGTTTTTACATCACCTGACCCTTGCCTTTTTTGGATTACGATTTGAACATTGTTTTGGATTTGTCTGCCTGCCTCTCTTAATAAAAACGGCCTTTTACCTGCAATTGCATCCATCTCCATTCACCGTTACATGACAGAATACAGCGCCTTCATCACAGAATACTGGGCCAACCAAATGGATGCTGCAGGATGGCGAGAGAGGAGCTACACCAGGATCACCATGCTAGTGTTCAATTCAGTCCACTTCCCCCAGTGGACTTTCATGTATCCCCCAGGCCCCTTCGACGGCTCTGAAGACCTTTTTAAAGGATTAGACAGAGCCAATTATATTTTGCCAGCCTGTTGAACCGCCAAAGAGAACAGTGGCTCATATTCTTGCTGTCCCAGTTCACTGGCGGGGCCCATCAGTGGGTGGAACTTCTGGTCACCAACCTGGGAACCATGGGCCTATTGAGCATGGCTGAGGTCATTTGTTTAATGAGAGTGATTTATGGGAAGTGGGACTTTTGCTTTGATCTTGAAAATTTTTTGGGGAGGGCCAGCCTTTTGGACGAACCTGTTCGGCCGTTCACCAGCTACTATGAAGAGGCCACTGTGGCAGCCTCCTCTCCAGAGCTCCAGCCTGAGACCAACAAGGTGCTCTCGCCTGCCAAGCTCACGCCCAAGACCGACAGCACGGCCTCCCAAGTCCTGCTCACGCCTGAGGCCCACAGTGCGGCCTCCCAAGTTCTGTTCATGCCAGCGCCCGACGGTGCGGCCTCCTATGCCATGCTCCTGCCAGAGGTCAACAACACAACCTCTCAAGACTTGCTCACACCTGAGGCCAGCGTGGTCTCCCATGACCTGCTCAAGCCTGAGACCTCCGAGACGGCCTCCCAAGACCTGCTCATGTCTGAGGCTGAAGAGATGGCCTCACACACCGCGTTCCTGTCTGAGGCCGACAGCAATGCTTCCCAAGACCAGCTCACTTCTGTGGCTGATGACGCAGCCTCCCAAGCCTGATTCCCACGAAATAACCCCGGGGATCATGTCTCAGCCCAGCCGTCTGACCCCAACAAACCTGTCTCTGACCCACCACCTGCTTCCCACCAGTATGCCCCATGTCTGCTTCCTGGCTCCAGAAGAAGCCCACACCAAAGACAATGCCTGCCTTGGGCACTTGGATCGTGTGGACATTTTGCCTAGGGGGGGTAGGACCGCCTGTTATATATATATATATATATATATATATAAAGGCACATATATAAATGCACCTTCATTATATGACAGGTTACATGCACCCAAAATGTTAATAATTAAGAAAAAATAAGAGGGATCATTAAAAATTTAATTTTGTTTTATTACTGCCCTGAATAAGCTATTTCACATAGCAGATATTTACATATAGTCCACAAGACAAAATTATAATTGAATTTACACAAATTAACCAGTTCAAAAGTTTACATATGCTGTGTGTTGTTACCTGGATAATCAATGACTGTTTTTATGAGGCCCTTGTTTGAAGTTAAACTGCCCACTGTTCTTCAGAAAAATCCTCCAGGTCCTGCACATTCTTTGGTTTTCCAGCATTTTCTGCATATTTGACCCCTTTCCAACAGTGGCTATATGATGTTGGGATCCATTGTTTCGCATTGAGGACAATTGAGGGACTCGTACACAACTATTACAAAAGGTGCAAACATACACTGATGCTCAAGAAGGCAACACGATACATTAAGAGCAGGGGGACGTAAACTTTTGAACAGGATGATCAGTGTTAATTGTTATTATTTTGTTTAAAGATCTTTTTTTTCATTTAGTACTGCCCTTCAGAAGCTACATAAGATATTTACATGTTTCCAAGAAGACAAAATAATAACAATTTACACTGATCATCCTGTTTAGGAATGTTCCCTAACAAATATATAATCCCAATTAAGTCCATTTCAGTTCCAGGTCAT